TTTTGTATTAAAATACAATAGGTTTTCCTCATTGTTGTTCTCGTTCACTACATTACCAGTAAAAATCAATGAACAGTTTGATAGAAATGGAGCACCGAATACAGGGAAGACATCATTTATGAAATTAATATTTGATATGATCTCATAAATCGAAAGTGAAATGATTCCAGCGTTTCATCTAGCAAACTTATTTGAACTTCTTCGGAGTAATTATCAAAATGAAAATTATCGAATAATATATAATGTTTGTTAAACATTATTATTTCAAATAAATTTTTTACAAATACTTCAAATAAGCGTCAATATACCACTCATAAATGTTACTGCATAAGATTAAGGTTTATATTCTACAAGAAGATAATGGCAATTATTTATTTAATCAATGGAATAAATAATTGTGTCATGTTTTACTATCTAGATGATGTATAACTAATCTGTACATCATGATAATTAAAATTTCGCAGAAAGATATTTTTCGTATGAAAAATATGATGTGCACTAAAATTTTTGAAGTGCAGTCAATAAATACATGAACTGGACTTAGTTAAAGACTCATTGAAAATTAAGGACCGAGCAACAGTCAACTGGTCTCAATACGGGACTCACCAGCAGTGAGAAACGACGTCAATCACTGAGTTGATGCCTAATGGTTCACGTTTGTGACTTAAGTCAATCCATAAGATTGCACAACCATCGATGGGTAACTAGATACTTTTCAAAATTTATTGAATAAATGTCTCAAACTTTTCTATTAAATGTTGCCTCTTTACAATATGAAAACTTGGAAAAAGAAACTATTTTTTCAGTCCGAACGGGTACTGTTAAGTGCTCACAAAGGTCTCTGAATCTCTAATCTTAGATATGTGATGCTAAGAAGTCTTTTATTAGAACGAGATAGCTGTCATATGCTCCTTCGTATTCACTGGAGGCCTAGGTGAGGTTATTCCATAAAGAAGCACAATTTAAAAACTAAATTAATCTCACAAAACGCACATCAATAAAATGTGTAAATTAATGTTCAATTGTGGTTGGCTTTCATCAGGTAATTATTCTTGTGACGCGCATTTTCTGAAAATCGATAGTGATACACACTCTTGTTATACATAGCCGGTCTACCTGATAGAAAAGACGGAGAGTGGTAAAGGTTTCTCTGTCTAAACAGAATTCATTGTATATATATGTTGCAAGCTAAATTTTGTTTTCACAATCTCTTTAATATCAGATAAATGACATTACTTTGCCTAACGTCCTTTTTATATTATGGTTAACATGTGGACTACTGGTATTATTTGGACTGAGATACACTTTCCGATTGATTGTTCGTATTTGAATTTAATCTGAAAAACATTTTTATCATCCGGTTGGTCTTCATAATACATTCTTTTGAGCTAGCTTGCTAACAGAACAACATTTGAAAGCTCTGTTCATGACTACATGAATTGTAGATAGGTAGATTCACTCTCACTGATATCAGTTATCACAAAATATTTTCTTTAGGGACACAATTTTGTAGACTTCATTTGGATGCTTTACGATAGTTATGTTCAATCTATGATCTCGGTCTATTAGCTTTCTATGATTTACGCTGTCCTCTAATGTCATCGATTAGGAAAACAACGAACACACGAGATATAAAACTACAGTGTTGAAGTATGTTAAGTCTGTGCACGGATGCATGGTATTTTACACATCTAAGTTTGGTAATTCAGCATTAATAGCTTAGAACTTATATTTTAGTCTGTCGTGCAAAAGCATTAGTTTGTCATTGGTGAAGAAATTTAACTTACAACAATATTACTTATTGCTGAAGTTGGGTACTGGTAAAGAGTGGAATCCAGGAGGAGAGAGTTTTCCTGTCTGCGACTCATCAGCTGAATGTATATGGACTTCAGTGTCAAGATTTACACAGAAAATCAAAACCACTACTTTTCACTTTAAACGCTAGAGAGCTGCTAAGATTAGATAGATACGTGCATGTGCAACGAGTATGAATTTTATTAAACAGGGTGTAGATTTTCTTGGTGTTAATATTGACTCAGCAGCTTAGTAAATAATGTACTGACGTTTTGAGTGAAAGAGAGTGATTTCGAGTTACAGTGTGAATGTAATCACTGGAATCCAAGTAGATCCATCTGGCGAGTCCCAAACAAGACGAACTAACCATCCTGGATTCGATTGTTAGCCATTCTTCAAACTTAATACAAACTTGTGACTAAATGTCAACACCGATCCTCTTAGAGGTCACATATTTTGATAGGAAATAGTCAGGTTGAGTCGTTAACACGGGGAAAATACAAACATTTAGAACTAATGATCTGCTATTTTTTTCCTGAATCTTCTATTTATGGCGGAACAGTCTATTACAAACAATCAGTACAGGATTGTGGAGATTGTAAAGCTTTTGATTGAGATCGTGGATGCGCACTGCTGAGGAGTCCCGTACTAGAATGAAACGGCCGTCCAGTCTTATCAGGTCTTCAATGGTGGTCTAACATTGATCGATTCATGATCTTAATCAATAAGAAATAAGTATCCAAATAAATTTAAGTAAAAAGAAACTAATTCATTTTTGTATTCATCTGCTTCACTAATATAAATACCAAAGTGAACTGTACAAGATTTCCATCTTAATTTTGTATTCATCATCATTCAAGGAATCAGCATTTATGTTTCGAATAAGGTCAATAGAAATAACTGATAATGAATGGTAATTTGTAAAATGAAATATTGTTTCAGATACATAAGAGAAATACTTTCACTATTGATTTTCAATATTGAGATTGAGATTTTTACGTACAAAATTGTCTCAGTCCCTTGACTTACAATTCTAAAAGGTAGCCATTGAGGCTCACTTAATTTGGTAATAAGACAGATATTGTCGGTGACACACTGGACAATAAAATATTCTCGTATGATTACAATTTCGGTTATAGTTAGAAATGTAAATAATAGAATTGTGATCAGCATAAAGCGCACGCTGCAATGCTTGGAAATTGCGGGTGTCCACTCGCCTAATTGTGAAAACAACTGTTTATCACTTTGTTTTTCGTTGGTTGTCTTTTGGAAGTCATTTCTTGATAGAGACTATCTCCTAATGTTTTTAATATCAGATTCTGAGATATATATCTGCCATGGTTTATCTAATAACCCTTATTAGTTTTAACTCATTTCCAATCCTATCCTCAATGTTTTATAGTGATAATGTTTCAGTCATGATACATTTTCCATCATGCCTTTCGACACCTAATTATAATTATGTTCGTCTTGTTATCTTAGCCTAAGGAATTGCTGTTAATACATTTTGTAGCAAAATATAATGTACATTTGTCTATAACATGTTTTATATACCTTGATTCAATTTTTACCTTATGATCTAATATGCTAGTTTGTCATTTTAAAAAAAAGTTAACTATTTGACTTGAACTACACTCACGAGAATCCTAATTCATACATCATTATCTAAATTCATTTATATATCGATGAGTAAAAAGATATTTTAAATCAAATTACTCTGTTTACCATGAAATTCAAAGTTCTTCTAGCCCATAAAATTAATGAATTGATATATTTATCACCGAGGTTTGACATAAACAAAAATGTATGGCATAAGTTTGAACAGCCTGAACAATGCACACCTATGATACTACTAAGGTAAACGAGAACAACAATGAGGAAAACCTATTGTATTTTAATACAAAATTACTAAATCTCTTAGTAAAATCCGAGAACCATACAGTAAATACCTCATTTGTAAAATGTCAATCGATTATCTCAGATTGTTCTTTCATTTCCACACAAATCGCTCTCTATTCTCGTCCTCATCCCTTCTATCTTCTTAACCTTCTGTCGCCGGGCATTTCACACTCGGCTGACGATACATACTACTTATATCTATAGACATCTGTAGCACACATCACACTACGTGGATTCATACTTAGTACCTTCAAATATCTCGGTCAGATATTAGTGTTAGATTATTAAGTCAAAATTCCATAATTCATTCTAAAGATTTCGAATACATCTTGCTGATAAGGTTACCTAGCGTAAAGTTTATGTCTACAACTCACTGCTGACTACCATCAACCATTTAACAAAACATATCATCATTATCGTAATCACTAGCGTTCATCCAAACAAACATCTCTGAGTCTTGATCAAAAGTCAAGAATTGAATGTTTCCACCATTTGAGGTAATGCAAATAATCAAAATCGTAGATTAGAGATCATGAATGATATGGCACGTAATGATTAGTAATGGCTCAATTAGACTCATTCCTTATGTTTCAGCAAATATATATATTCTATACTTTAATTCCACGATTTCACTTGTTATTATTATACTATATTATGATGTGATGAGTGGAAACGAGGACCCGACACATACTTATACCATTTCCTACACTACATACAGTCGAGTGATTGAGTGATTAAACGAGAATCATGTATCAGTGAATTCAAGTATTTCGTGGTCTGGTAAATAGATATTGTATTGATGATAACATGAGTTGTTTATATAATGTTAATAATCAGTTGACATTAGAACAAAATTGAAAAATTATATATTTTATCGATGACCGAAATGTATCATTTCCTCATCAGAAACTGGAAATACAGAAGTATATATTATGTGAAAATTGGTTTGATGATTGTAAACGAAAAAATGCTGGTTGTAAAGTATCGTGAATTGATTGAAGCTAGATATTTGATTGGATCGCAGTTTAAATGTCTAAGGGTTAAGAGTTCCAGGCTTGATCTCCAGTGGTTTGGTTATGGGTGCAAATTTCTGCTCAGTCCCATATTAGGCCGAATCAACTGACTGGTGGTTTTTCTTTTAAATGGTGGTTTCGCTAAGATCGGTAAGTGATTTAAACTATGGATAAATATTGATTTAAAAACTTATTTAAATTTAAATTATTCAAGTAAAAAGAAAAAATGTTTTGTGAATTGATAAATTTGTTTGATAATTGAACTGAACAAATAAATTCATTTCCTATTTACAGATTATTATCATCCACAGGATTATGGACTACACTTATCCGGAGTAAAAAATCACGATAAAATTATTCGAAAATTCAATAATTTAGCTAATCAACGATTAATGGCTGGTGTTGGTGAATTTTTCGACGAACTGGATCATAATAGTAAGTTTATTTTAATTAAGTGTTTTGCTTTTTTGTACTTGTACTAACCAATGGTAAATAACTGAAACAACTGATTTTGTGTTGAATTGATGAGTTATTAAGTAGAAGAAACTCATTTTTTAAATGTATTTGAAGCGGTTACATAGTCGAGTTCGTTGAAGGATCTAATTAGTAATGTGAATTATTTTTAGTTTAAACGTCTTATCCTGTGTTTTTTTGCAGTGTAAAACTGAATTTCAAAAATTAGTTTTGTAGTCTTTTGAGTGGGTAATCAGTCAGATTATTTTGTTATATTTTACGTGGGGTAGGATTCATTATCATTTTGTAGAAACATTTTAAATGAACAGTTACCATCTATTTCATTTTGAAATCAGCTGTTGATTGTACTGCGATTCAGATTTGAATGATCTCGATATGACTGGGACAAAATGATGAGACTTATTAACCCAAGTGACAAAATTTTGCCTTTGAAGAAGCAAACTCCTAGGTCTAGCCTGATTGTTTTAATCAACGCTAAAACATGGGTTAATCTGATAAACGAACTAAAGTTGAAATGAAACAAATGTTTTGGATTCAACTGCTCAATTATTTATAAAAAAAATTTACACAACTTATGAATTGGATCTATATACAGACGTGGATTCGAGAAACTGATTAATTCTAGTTTCAAATAAATATGAGGAATTTATGGAGATTGTTCACTTTTGCATCTTACACAATGAACTGACCTTAAGAAGGAAACTGTAGTAAATCAAGTCTCATGATGAATGCTTAACTTTTGAAAGATGAGTCCCGCAGTTCTAGCTTGAAATTATGACCAGTTCAGTTTAAGTATGTAGGATGTAGATCAGTTGTCTGCATGTTAAGATTTTTCTACAGGATTGCGAATTGAAGTTTTAAATGTAAATCATGAAATGTCAAATTAGTAGATTGAAGGTTAAGCTCTCGCTGCGACACATGAAAGTCATGTGTTTGGTCCCCATTTAGGTTGTGAATATCCCCTCTAATCAGTCTTACCCTAGAACGAAATGGCTGTTCAGTGAATGGTAGTTTTCAATGACTGTCTAAATAAGACTAATTCCATATGTAAACTATCAACGTAGACTTACACATTAGTTACGGAAAAATTTAAACGCCTATTAACAGCAAAAAGCAGTCAACTCAAGTTTTATTTTTCAGTATTCTTAGCAGACCAGTTTATTTACATTAAATGCTAAACCAATATATTCTTTTTTTATGATCATGCTAACAACTTGTATTATATTATAGATATTAGCAACTAAAAATGAATCTATCAATCTATCAATCTATCAATCTATCTATCTATATATTTATATATTCACTTGTTCATTTATTTTTTTATTTGTTTAAAGATCTCTTTCATAATAAAAGACTAGTATATGAACGAAGAAGACTCTTTTCGATAAATTCTCTTCAGGTTATATATAATATATATCCAAATTAATAATCCAAAAAGTGGCCAGGTTAAGGGCATAGTGCATCATTTAAAGTTATAACATGTGAATTTAGGATTTTTAAACAAAATAGAATAAAGTTGTTAATGTTGATATGACTCATATGAAATATTATATATCAAGATGTAGCGTCATTTAATAATACTACAATTGCAAAAATAGTTTGATGATTTTAATAGTTGAGATTATCAGTCAATCGAAGCTAGGTCACCATGGAAAACCTGAAGTCACTGGACAGCCGACTCTTCCTACTGTGGGACTCCTCAGCAGTGGGCATTCACGACCCCTCCTAGCGAGATTTGAGCCCACGACGTATCAGTTTTGCGCGTGAGCGCCTAACCACTAGACCACTGAGCCGGCATCCATAGGTCCTGGGTTTGAATCTGGCGAGGCAGGATCGTGGATGGACACTCATACTAGGACGAAACGGCCGTCCAGTACTTCCAGGTTTTCCATGATGATGTAGCTTCAACTGACTCATGATCTCAACTATTGAAATTACCATAATATCCACAAAACCCCTCCTAAAATTGTCTGATGACTAATTAATTATTTCTAAACTGATTTGTTACCATTAGATCTACTCTAGATATCGAATAGAATAATAGTTGCTCGTTTTGTTCATAGGTTCTATTGACTTCATTTGCCTTAGCATTCAAGTTGACCATTTGTAAAATAATGGACCGACTGAACATCAACAAAAACGAGTAATTTGAAGGTTTTCTCAAATTGTGTTCATCAATAACTGTATGGACAGTGAGTTAGACATTGGGGGAACTCAAGATATTGAACATATTTTTAGTTTTTATCGACACAAGAGGTTAGAGAGTATATAAGTTTTTAATCCTCCTTTCAATCTTCAAGGCCCATAGTAAATTACCTGTGTTTTCCTAGAAATATCAATTTATTGTCTTCATTTCATCAAAATCTAGGGAGCTTATATCATGTTTCTCGAATAATCTTAATAGCCTAGGCAGATTACACACATTTATACCATGTTATTGAAAGCATCAATTTACTGTAAATGATCTATGAATGTGATATTCACAACAGTGAATAAAGTTATTAAATTTGTTTAGGATGCTTATTCATTTGTTCCTCATTAACAATTTGAGGGTTCATGTCGATATTTGAAGTTATTGAGAAATGCCAAAGATTCTAATAATGAATAATTACTTAAAAATGAAATAAAATACTATGTTTTTCAATACCACTTTATTGTTTTTGTTGAGTACATTCATATAATTTATTGATTTCAACTATAATAAAGTTTTACTTCACTATCTTGTATGTAACATTTCTAGTAATTTAATTTTAAACTTCAAGTTCACGTTTTAGAGTATGATGTCACTTGAACTTAAAATAAGTGAAGTGACTCAATGTTTAATGAAAGTGCAGTTTCTAACATTTTCGAGAACTGTCCCGTTCATTTAATAAGTGATTACTGTATGTAACTGCACAACTATCGCTGGTGATATCATTTCAATTGTTTAAAAATATTTAAATCTATCTTTCATGAACATGCTACCCGAGAGCATCCAAAACTGCTGAATGAAAAGCAAATAAAGTGAAATTTGTGTTTGAAATAAAATCATCAGCGAAAATTGTTGTCTTACATTATATAAACATTCGCTCAATCGATGTAAAAATATCCGAAAATACATGTTACAACAGGTACATTGAATACTGAAAAACGGATGAGCTACGAATTCACGGACATGTATAACATCTCTAAAGTAAATAGCCTAGAAACTAATGATCAATAAATGATAATCATTGGTAAATTCAATATAATCCCCCAAATCTAAAGAAATGACACTGATCTGTCTCACATAGTATATTAAAGTCAAATGATAGGTATAGACTTATCGGTGAGACACCGTTGGAGTACTTTGATTCGGCGCCTAGTCAAAGTGTTGGCTTACATGTTCTTGTCTGGGTCAAACAGTTTATGCGTACTGTAATTCGGTTTGTTAATAGAAGTTTCCAAGTCATTTTTAAGTCTTTTTAACCAACATAGCTGTTTGTGGGTGGGTATCAGAAACAGGTGTATCTGAATCGTGAACGCAGTAGAAAATAGCATAGGTGTTTAAAATGAACTTCGTTTTTCATTATAATAGTATGTCTTTTTCACAATACCATGTACATATAATTTAAAACAACTTCAATTATTTATAATATTGAAAGAAGCTTATTTACAGCATCGTTACAGAGTTATCTCACGAAAATATTACAGACATTTCATAAAGTATAGAAGGTCAGAGTTTTGTCTCAATATCAGCGGATTATTTCACTGTATTATTATAGTTCAGTTATGATGTGTATTAGTTCTTAATTAATGGGATGTTACCGGCTTTGTAATATTAATGCGCATACTAAATTAACTAGAAATATTTGCTTATTATAATCAGGATTATAATTATTTGACCTAATAAACAGTGATGTTTATTTCATAGACGTCAGTCATTTATTAGTAAGTAGTACAGTCGAAATAACGTATCTACCGGAAAGAATTTGCATTTTTAATTGTGGTATATTTCTCTACTTCAGATAATTGGAATTTGACTTGATTTTGTTCTTCAGTCTAGTCATTCAAAAGATGACATCTTATAGTTGTATTAAACGTACAATAGTGTCTGAGGAGTGCACTAAACTTAAACACGATAATATTTCGCAAATATCGAATTACTCACTTTTAGTGACTTCATCAAATTTTTAGCCCTTCAGAGTTGACCCTGGTTCTCCTAACTTTACTGTACAAAGGTCTCCGTGGAATATCATCAGACTAAAATAAACAAAAATGTGAACATAAATCGATAAAATTAGTCAGATTTTTAATGTTATGCAGCTTTATTGTGATATGAAAACTTTGAAATAAGCGAATTAGGGAGTAAGACTTCATTAATTTATGGTCATTTAAGGTTTGAACTGTTTAATGATGTACGGATTTGTCTTTGAGGTGTAGGAACAGATGGTTCATATGTACACCAATGATATATTGAATAAAACTAAATCAGTTCAAATACATTTACTTGTTAAACAATTCGTAATCCATTACTGTAAATCGATTTGTAATGATTTTACTCAGCTCCAGTAATGTTTATGATATGTAACAGGTTTTTGAATTTATTTTTTATTCGTTGAATAGATTTATACAGTCGTTGTCTATGGTTGTAGTATTCTAATAGTTGAAAGTTTGTAATTTGTTATCTATGAATTGAATATTTCTCAGTATTATTTAGGAATGTATGTGTGCAGAAGGTACATTCGAATATTATTAAGATCACGAACTGATCTACGTTAGATGACCATTATTAATCTGGAAGTACTGAACAACTGTTTCGTATTAGTTTGTGGCTTAGAAGCAGTGTACATCCACGACCCCATCATCGAGGATTAAACCAAGGACTTTGGGTCTCATACGGAAACACTTAAGCTTAAGGCCACTGATCTAAGATCCAATTGTGGAAAGATGTAAACTAAATTTAATTAGGTCATTTTAAATTGGTCAGTAATCGCAAAAAAATCAGCGATCTCCACAATGTTCATACTGACAATGTAATATGCTTCCACTACTTAGCCGTAAATGAAAAATCTAAAAATTTCGTTTTCGTCCTGGGTCAAATTCATATTTTGTGACTTTGTGCTCAGAAAATCCACCGTTCATTTCTCTGTAAGAAAAAGATGCACCGTTAATAAAATTTATAAAAGGATACGGTAATGCGCCACGTGGAGCGTAACTTCTTTTAGGATTTAGAACAAGATTAGAGATCAAGCAGATAAACTAGAGCAAGTACTCTTAAGTCTCTCTAGATCGTCGTACAGACATGATAAAATGAGGGTATAGTATAAAACATTGTACGCATTTTTAATGTAATAACGTAGATAACATAGTAACTTAACGGAAAGAATTCCATCGGCACCAAATAACTTGGCAAACACAGTTAATTCTCAGTGGCTGATTACTTGTAATGGAAAGAATTGGAAAAGATTGCCTAGGACAGATTTGGATGGAGAATGCTGGTGGGCAGCATACGCTAATTCACGAGGAGTAACAGGCGTAAGTAAGTAGGTAAGTAAATAATTACTGGTAAATATTTCAGTTGTATAGAGTCCCTGAACAGCTCAGTGGTAACAGTGCAGTCTCCTTCAGATAAGAAGTACTCCTGGCGTCAGATCATAGTCAGCCATGGTTTCTGTTAGCTGCTTTCAGTCTAACTGGTTTTTATCACGAAAGCAACTTATTACGGAATGTATTAAACTTTTCTGGCATCATCATTCCGGATTAGATTTTCTAGCTCAATTTAACTGCGTCATGTATAACTCGATCAATGAAAATATGTTTTGCTGAATATAAAAAAACACTACCTGATTGATAGATTTTGTAATTCCAGTTTTCACATAAATCGAATTGTATGTGAAATGATCATATAATTGGTGTATTGTTTATGACGTGAGTAAATTTTTAAATTGAGAAATATTTAATTACATTCATTTTTACCTTGCATCTCTACTTCCTTAAAGCGACTACATATGTTTTGCATGTATGTATGCATGTGGAGTATTTTTGTTATCCCATGAAATTATGCTAATTTCTTAGTATCAAACGTGAAATAGTAAGTAAATTGATGCTGCTAGGTACAACGTATTTTCGGTTGATAGTAACAGTGTTACGTAAGGTGGTTGAAGGTAGGAGGGAGAAAACTGAATACCAAAAGTTTGTGTCGATCGGCTCATTTTAACAAAGCAAAGTTATAATCTTAAAGGAATTGATATTTTCGGTGAGAATCGAACAAGAACTAATTTCAACCACCTAATATCTCATCATAGATCAAGCGATGTCAATTGACTTAGAGTAGTAGCCACATTAAAACAGAATCAAATGAACAATAATGGAGTGAATAAATGTAACACTGATCACTCAGATTTAG